GAGAGAGAACGAACCTGTGATACTTTTATCTAGATTCTTTGATGAATAAAAAGGTAAAAAGGACAGCATTTATTCAAAATAGAAATCTTTTCAAAATAGAAATCTTTTTTTATATATCTTGTATAAATCTCTGTGACTATATTTCAACAAGAATGAAACTGAACTAAACGATCTCTGACATTTATTTATATTTCATTTATTTGTTTGTAACTTTATTAGCACTTTTGCGAGTTTAGCGTGTGAACAGGACTTTTAATTTGGTTTGGCGATATGACGTCATAAGGCTGCGCACGCAGCGTGCTGCGTCTGTGATTGGACTGAAGAAAGGTTTGTTTTTAAGTATATAAAGGATTTAAAGTGTTTAAATTAATTTAAACTGTTCAACATTGCTAAAGAAAACTAGTTATCAATTATTGAATGTTTGCATGTAACATCGTAATGATGTATTTAACGTTTATGGCGGTATTTCTGAGAGTAAAGCGCATCCGCACATGAGTAGCTGCGTCTCATTTCGTTCCCTATATCGTGAATGAGTTTATCGTAAACACGAACTCGGGCACTGGCAAGTATTGATGAGAGAAACGCAAACTCTTTTCTCTGTTTTGGCTGAATGGTTCACTGTTTCGCTCGCATCCCGCACGCTGACGACACCCTCTGGTCAATGCAGTGCACATGTGTAATGACAACAATTACTAACCAACTGAAAGTGTTTGCATTCAGTTTTCTATTAAATGTAAGCTACAAATTATTAAATACCAAATATCCGCAACTAAATATTAAGTGTCTGCATGATTTGTGGTATTCTACTAATTTGAAGCACTTTCCCCCCTTTCTTTTTTGTTATTTTGCCTGCTTTGTATTTTAATTATTGTGGGTTCTATATATATTATTATTGTATTAATAATAATTATTATAATAAAAAATAACATAACTGCTTTTAAACCAGTATTATAACAAAATTCAGACAAAAAGTATGAGAAGAGAACATATGAAAAAAAACTTTAACAAATATTTTAAACAGTTATTTATGAAATTTTGAAAATGTATTTAATATTTTCAGTATAGTACAGCATAAGTATAGTGCATGGAGTAATTACAACTCTTAACTTTTCAAATGTTGTTTTCTGTTTGTGCTTATGGAGGTGGATTTTTATTATCCCTCATTAGGCGTATTATTTTTCACTTAAGGCACATTTTTAGCACAAAGTATGTATTTTCTGCAAACATAATATATTAAAATATAATTGTTCAGTTGATCCCCCCCCCTCCCTCCAATCTATTCATATAAGGGTGTATTGTGGTGTGATATAGTTCAGATGTGTGCGTGGGAATTTACTTTCTGGAACCTTTAAAATTGTGTGCAAATCAGTCCCACACCCAGTATTACTTTGACATGAATAGTTAGTATGTGACTTTTTATTCTCATCTTAAACATGACACTGTTTCCAAACAAACAGAAAAATTCCAGGTGAAGTGACTGAGATCCACGTGACCAGTGTAAAGATGGCGTTTATTAAAGATGAGAGTGAAGACACGAGGATTGAAGAAGCATTCAGTGTGAAACAAGAAGAAACTGAGGAACAAACAGGTTAGTTTTCATTCTCAAAACAGAAATATGACTTGAGAGGTCGTTCATGTCCAATTTCCGACTAGGAAATTGGTTTTTACGATAATTCCGATAGCATGTGAATGCAGCATAAGTGTACCTGAGAAGATCCTACTTCAGAGTTGGGCATTCATTATTATGACATGTCATGCATTCAATTAAAGGAAATAATACAGAAGTAGCCTAAACAAAATAGGCTCATTCCGTGGCAACTCAACTAGAAGTCCCCGGCTCAAATTTTTGATTTTGTTAATATTTTTCTTCTATAGAAAGACAAACATATACAAGTGATGAAAGCCAAAATATTAAATATCACAGATGTATATTTACAGAGTATTCCATTATTCCATCTTGATTATGCAAGATGGCGCCCCCCGAGGCAGACGTGTTTGCTCGCTCCGCTCTTGAATGCCGGTTTTTCTTTCTTTTTGTTTGTTTTCTGTTTTATCTGCCGTGCTCAAATGCGGTGCACTGCTAACGTACAACAGACAGGCATTACTGGACATCGCCAATTCAGCCAACCATCTTGAATTTACCGGTTTTATACCTCGCTTTAAATACTTGGGGGTGCACATCAGCGAGGACCTCACCTGGACACTCAACACCACCCAGCTGGTTAAGAAGGCACAACAGCGGCTGTACTTCCTGAGGAGGCTGAGGAAGTTTGGCATGTCACCTAAGATCCTCAACAACTTCTACAGCTGTGTAGTTGAGAGCGTCTTGACCAGCTGCATCACTGCATGGTATGGCAGCACTACAGTGAGGGACCGCAAACGTCTGCAGAGAGTGGCGAAGACTGCTGAGAAGATCATCAGGACTCCACTGCCTTTTTGGCAGGCAATTACCATCCCAGAGTCCAAAGAAGAGCTGCATCCATCATTAAAGACCCCACCCACCCCCAACACAGACTGTTCACACTCCTACCCTCAGGACGGAGGTACAGGAGTGTAAATTGCAGGACTTCCAGATTAAGAAACTCCTTCTTCCCCTCTGCTATTAGACTCTTAAACAGGTAGCTAGCTAGTGGACTTATCTATCTCAGAGAACAGTCAGTCCAAATGGTTTCATCTCATTTGAACATTTGTAATGTTATTGCTGTTATTACTACCATTGTATATTTGTTAATATTACTCATGTAGCCTCATCTCAATTTATTTATCTGTTACTGTTACTGCTGCTATTGTTATTATGTAGTTGCACTCAATTTGCACTTGTTACTGCACTATTGTTTTTTGCACATAAGTTAATACTGTACATTCGCATATATAGATACCATATACATAGTCTATATTTCTATTTTCACATTCTATATTTCTACTCTATACTCGCATATATAGATACACATAGTCTATATTTCTATTTTTTTTTCATAGTCTTTATTCCTACTACTGCAGCATAGTTTTTATTATTATGTTTCTTACATTGTGTATGTATGTGTGTATAGTTTGTGTATGTGTGTGTATAGTTTTGCACTGTCTTGGCATTCATTGTGGACAGCAAAGTAAGAATTTTTATTGCTCAGGGAAACTTGTTTTCCTCACTGGGCATATGACAATAAACGCTTTGAATCCTTGAATTATTTTGTAGAGGGGGTCAAAAAGACAAGTTTCATGTGAGATTTGGAACCAAATTAAAGGGGTGTAAAAATTACTTTAGAAGGATGGCAGCATCATTTATTTTTACACATGTGAACAATTTACTCATGGAGCCGCATTAAGATCTCCATATCTCTGGGCCATTGAGGGCCATTAAAATGAAGATACCAAAAGGAAAGTTTGTTAAGAACCAGAATCTAAAAGGATATTAAGATATTTTTAGTACTTCTTGAGTTACAGGCATGCAAACTTGAGGCAAAAAACACAAGAAGTCCTTTTGGCCATTTTTGAACTGTCACCATTGGCATATGATGAAACAAAGATTGCTAAAGTCAACAGATTCTACTAATAGACATACCGGTTTCTGTGTAAAAATAAAATAATGATGCTGCCTTCATTTTTCTAAAGTCATTTTTACACCCCTGTAATTTGGCTCCAAATCTCACATTAAACGTCTCTGGTTACCCCCAGCACCAGAGCCAGATCCCAGGATGGCACTGTAGGAGGACGAGAGGGTCTCAGTCTTCTCGCACCTCTCAAAAATCTAATCACTCGATCGTGTTTTCCCACTGAGCGCTCGTCGATAGCAGCGTGAAAGGCTGAGATAGCTGCAACATAAACCTTAAGAGTGGAGGGCATACTGCCGCCGTCCATTCGTTGTTGCAAAAAATTCAGAATGTCAGACACGGGGCAGTTCTCCGGGTCCCGACTATTCGATTCACACCATCTCTCAAACACTGCCCATTTACAGGCGTCTCGTAGAAGGGGCTCGCGCCTCCGTAATCGTGTCCATCACGCGGCGAGACAACGAGCCCGGGTTTACCGGTTCCTGCACACCATCCACACCTGAAGTTTCCACCATTCAGGGTTGGGGTGCCATACCGAGCCGTCTGCTTGAGACAGGAGATCCCGTCTCAGCGGGATCAGCCACGGGGGTGCCGTTGGTTTCCCGATCTGTTGGAAATACTACGGCCTGTTCGGCCAACACTGACGCCTTCTCCTCTCTGATTTTGTGCAGCATTTGTGACAAAATCTTCAGCGGGGGGGAGAACGCATACAGACGGGCATTCGGCCACGGCATCGTATGTGCGTCCCCGCCTAGGGGAGAGCGTGACAGAGAGAAGAACAGAGGGCAATGTGTGTTCTCCTCTGTCGCGAACAAGTCTATCTCCGCTTTCCCGAACCGTTCCCAGATCAGCCTCACTGTCCAGTCTCCATTCTCCATGAGGAATCCCGTCCCTCGATAGCATATCCGCACCGCTGTTCAGGCAGCCCGGAACATGCGCTGCTCAAATGGAGAGCAGATGGTGATCGGCCCACAGCAAAAGGCGTGCTGCCTGTCTGTAAAGGGCTCTCGAGTGTACTCCGCCTTGGCGGTTTATGTACGATACCACCGACATGTTGTCCGTGCGAATCAACACGTGATGCCCCCAGACTTGCGTGAGGAAACTCTGAAGAGCCAAAAAGACTGCTCTCAGCTCGAGGCGATTTATGTGCCACATTCTCTCCAACTCTGTCCAGTAGCCTGATGCCGGTACGCCGTCGCAGTGAGCTCCCCAGCTCGTCGTCGACGTGTGCGTCGTGACCACTTTCCGCCGCATGACCAGACCCATCTGGGCACGGCATTGGTACAGGTCGGGGTTCCGCCATGGTTTCAGCGCGTTCAAGCACCTGGGAGTGACCACAACGCGGGCACGGCCCATTTTCCAAGCCCTTCTCGGTACTTGTGTTTTCAGCCATATCTGGAGGGGGCGCATATAGAGCAGACCGAGGTCCATCCCAAGAGCCTCTGATATTCCTTCAGTGCTACGGGATGGCCCAGCCTGAATGCATTCAGAGCGGACATTAAATCTCGTATGCGCTCCTGACTCATCGAGATCAAGTCCAACTGCACCCCCAGGTACATGATTGATTTGCTGGGGCGTAACACGCATTTTTGTTTGTTCACACAGAGACCTAAACTCTCCAAGTGAAGTAACAGAGTGCGTTTGTGGCTGTTGAGCACATCCTCCGAATGGGCCAAGACCTTGCTCTCAGAGGGGAAAGTGCCGCATCCACACATTTCGTAAATATACGTGGCGCCAGCGCTAGCCCAAACGGCATCACCTTGAACTGATATGCTACGCCTTCGAACGCAAATCTCAGAAAGCGCCTGTGACGAGGGGCGATCTGGATATGAAATTATGCGTCCTTCAGGTCCACCGAAATAAACCAATCTCCGGGTCAAATCTGCGCGAGTATCAGCTTTAGCATTGTCATTTTGAAAGCGTGTTTGTATAATGCACGGTTGATGGGTCTCAGGTCTAAGATTGGACGGAAACCACCATCTTTCTTTGGAATGACAAAGTACCGGCTGTAAAACCCGCTCTCGCTCGGCGGGACCACTTCTATCGCGCGTTTCGTGAGGAGATTAAGAATTTCTTGCCTCAGCACCGGCTCGTTGTGTGCCGTAACTGTCTACATGACCACGCCATTGAACCGGGGTGGTCTGTGTCGAAACTGAAGCGTGTAGCCGTTCTCTATTACGTTCCGCAACCAATCCGAAATGCCCGGAATGGACAGCCATGCACTTGCAAAAAGACACAGAGAGCGGAGTGCCTCGCCCTCTGAATTCTGAGCAACGCCGCTGTATAACGGGTTCGTGTTCAGAAAGCTCACGGGACAAGTGGGAGTGCTGTATGTTAGCGAGGGTCGTGCCTCGCCGATTAATGGGGAGCGCGAGCCTTCTGCTGAATGTGTGAGTGACACGGACGTGCGTATGTGTGAGGTGTCGAGAGCGAGCCGTGGCTGCGGGGGTCCGACACCTGACACAGGGACGTGAGCAATGCCAGAAACACGGGGAAGCTGCAAGCCCGGTTCTGTTGACGGTTTCACGGCCGAGTGTGAAGCTGCTATCCCTGGAGGAGGAGAAAAAAGCTTTTTTTGTGAGGGTGTCACAGACTTTATTGCATTTTGAACATACACAACACAGACATTCTCGCAGTTGCCTGCAACCGCCAAGGGGACTTCGCGAGAACATCTCGGATGCTTCGCGGCGGGCCCGTCGCTCGGCGCTCTCCTCCTCTGTACCCTCCCGTCAGGAACGAGGCTTCTGCTCCGACGGAGGAGCTCCCCCGGGATGGCCGCCTTTCTTGAAGCCGTGACGCCCCTTCGGTGTCCTCTGCCATGGAGTTTTGGCGCGAACAGAAGGCTCTGGGTCCGGCGCCGATGAAGCTGAAGCAGAGGGGGGCCGTTTCGACGGCCGGTTGGAAGCAGATGAAGATCTACTACGTGCAGGGGGCTGCACTGCAGCCCGGCACGGCAGGAAGTGACTCATCGCCTTGGAGCGCTTCTGTGCCTCTGAGAAGCGCTCCGCGATAGCCACCACTGCATCTCCGAAGAGGCCGGATGGAGATACAGGAGGCCGGATGGAGATACAGGAGTGTTGAGCAGCGCCCTCCTGTCTGCGTCCTTAAGCTCAGTGAGTGTCAGCCACAGATGCCGGTGGAGCACCACCATGTAGCCCATGCTCCGTCCGATCGCCTGGGCCGTCTTCTTTGTGGCTTTATGTGTAAAATCCTTTGCCGCGCGTAGATCCTTAAACTCCTCGGGATCCGCCCCACCCTCATCCAGGGATTTCAGGAGCTGTGCCTGAAAAACTTAGAGCACTGCCATCGTGTGCAGCGTCGAGATCGCTTCTCCCGAGGCGGCCTACGCTTTGTCCGCAATGCATGCGGTCAGACGGCAGGGCCTTGAAGGCAGCGTAGCACCCGCCTGCAGGGAGGCAGAGGAGGGGCAGAGGTGCGCGGCGATGGATTCCTTGATGGGCGGAATGTGCGTATATCCTCGGGCTTCCGGCCCGTCGACTCTAGTGAAGATCTCTGACCCGCCAGCGTGAGTGCGAGCCGATTGGGGCGCAGCCCACGCCTTAGCGATCTCGTCGTGCAAGTCGGGGAGGAATGGGGCTTGCTTCCTCGGAGTGGCAACTCGGCGGCCTGACTGAAGGAACCACGAATCCAGCTTGCCCTAAGCTGGTTCGTCGGGGGATTCCCACTATAGACCGAGATCGCTCACGGCCCTGGTGAGAATCCGGACGAGCTCATCCTGGAACGCGGTGTGTCCCTCCACTTCAGAGCGCTCCTCTGGAGTGCGGGCCCAGTCCTGCTCGGACGCCGTTAGGGATAACGCCTCGTCAAGATCGTCCTCGTCTCCCGCCGCACCGAACAAGATAATCGCCGAAGCGCCAGAGGCGTGTTGAAGACTCTCTTCCGCAAAGCACACCGGAGAGCGGGGGGGTGAATTGCGCCTTTCTGCGCGGTCGCCCACGTGCGGCTGCCGTCCCACCAGCAGCTCGCTGGCGGCGGTGGGACGTTGCCTAGAGAAATCACAGAGGGCGATGTTCCTCTGGGCCCTAAGCACCCGCACTGAGAATTCCTCGCAGTGCGGGCAGCCCGACCCAGTGAGTGCTGCCTCCGCATGGGCGAGACCCAGGCACCAGATGCAGAACTTGTGAGTGTCCGGGGACTGGATGGGTCCCGAACACAGTGTGCAAATGTTGGACATGCTGGAACGCAGAGAGGGAAATCCGTCTTCCTGCGTCTTCTCCACAGCTGTCTTCGGTAGGATGCGTGAAAGAGGACTCGCCATCTTGGCTGGCATTGGCCAGTGAGAGTTGTAACTTCACTGGCGTTGTGCAATAAGATTTCAGGTAGGTTAGGAAGGAAGGGAGTCCCCAAAGCGTTAACACCATGTCGAGAGACCGTTCTCGAGAGGGAACTTTTCTTTTTGACCCCCCTCTACAAAATAATTTTAAAATGTGAACATCTGTGACATTTTTGTGATATTTTGGTTTTTATCACTATATACAGTGGGTACGGAAAGTATTCAGACCCCCTTAAATTTTTCACTCTTTGTTATATTGCAGCCATTTGCTAAAATCATTTAAGTTAATTTTTTTTCCTCATTAATGTACACACAGCACCCCATATTGACAGAAAAACACAGAATTGTTGACATCTTTTATGTTTGTCTTTCTACAGAAAAAAAATATATAAAAAAATATTAAATAAAAAATTTGTGCTGGGGAAGTTTCCGAAATTTGGTTGATTTGACATGGAATGATCCAACAATTATTTTGTGTAGCATTAAACCGGTTTCAACTTTTGATGTGAAAACATTGAAAACCATTCATTTTAATTAATCATTTCTGTAAATGCAGTTGTTATTTTGTCTTGAGGGCTGTATGTAAACATCTGCTATATCAAATAACTTTATCAGGATAGTACTATATAAAAAATCCTCTCCTTGCTTTCAGGATGAGCCTTTATGCAAAATGTAAATACACGTTTCTAACATTTACAGATAAGGATATAAAATTTATAACCTACTGTAAATGTAAGTTATGCACTGAGGAAAACATGCCTCAAAATGTAATGACACACACACACACACACACACACATCTCTGTCAAAGCAGCTAGCAGGGCAAGCACATGTTAAGTGCTTAATATGATGTTTTGAGCAGCACTGTTCCCGCAGCAGTTCACTTTGTGTCCTGTTCTATTTTAATGGGTTTTGGCCATAAAAATGCATTATTCACTACCGTAAAGTGACGTGACTGATAATATTTTTTCCCATACACTGCATACAGATGCAATTAATCTAATTAATAAATTTTATTGATTACCCCTAATATCAATAGACTGCTAATATAGTTTTTTTCAGATTGTGAGAAAATATAAGACTGAGAATCATTGGCATATCATTAAAACATTTATATTAATAAGCATATAAGTGGACCTAATACAGAGCCCTGATGCACTCCATACTCTTAATTCACACAATGTGGTAGCGATCAGATAGGTAGTACCTACTCCGTGCTTATGCTAGTCCACAAATGGTAACAATTCTCAATCTTTCCAAGAAAATGTTGTGATCTTTGCTGTCAAAAGATCTAAGCACTAAAAGAGAGAGAGAGAGAGCTTTAATAAACACAGTTTCTGAGCCATGATGGCACTTAATGAAAATTGTTTAGAAATATGCAAAACTGTACATAATTGAGAGGACACTGTTTTTCTAATATTTTAGACATAAATGGAAGATTTGGGATCGGCATATAATAAAACAAGGTCTCCTGGGGCAAGCAGTGTTTGATAAGGGGTTTGGTAAACAATGTGTCCTTAAAGGGGTCCTATTATGCTCTTTTACAAAGTCTTGATTTTGTTTTGGGGGTGTACTAGAACATGCCCTCATGCTTGGTGTTTCGAAAAACGCATTATTTTTCACATAATTTACATTATTAAAATACCTTTCTCCCCATCCTGGCACCCTCAGTAAAATGCGCAGCACACAATAGCAAACCGGGTTATAATGGACAGAGTTAAAAAAAATAAACTCTGTCCATTATAACACTGTTTCCTGACATCATCCGCTTTCGGAAGCCCAAACAAAGAGTTAACAATATTGAGACAAGGTTCTGAAATTTGACAGCACCTTAGGATCTAGTATACATGTTGCTTTTGATGTTTTATGTTGGTTTTCATATACGTAGCTTTGGGCCTATATAATGTCTAAAAAAATTGTATGCCTTTTTTCACTTTAGACCTGATGGTGCCTAAAGAGGAGAGTGAAGAACTTAATAAAATGGAAGAGAAAGACCAGAAACATAATTTCATTACTGGAGAAAAATCCACAGAGACTGAAAAGATTTCCTCACGAAAAAAGTCTAAGACAACCAAATCTATATGTCCTTTCATCTGCCCACAATGTGGAAAACGTTTCACTCAGAAAGCACATCTTAAAGTTCACATTAGAAGTCACACTGGAGAGAAGCCTTTCACCTGCAAACTGTGTGGGAAGAGCTTCACACGAAAAGGAAGTCTTAAGATTCACATGAGAATCCATACTGGAGAGAAGCCGTTTTTATGTGGTCAGTGTGGAAAGAGTTTCAGATGTAAAGAAACCCTTAATTCCCACATGAGGGTCCACTCGGAAGAGACCCATTTTAGATGTCATCAGTGTGGAAGGAGTTTCCGATTAAAAAAAAACCTTAAGACTCACATGAGAGTTCACTCTGAAGAGAAACCTTACTCATGCCATCATTGTGGAAAGCGTTTTGTTCATAAAGGAAGCCACAAGAATCACATGAATATTCACACTGAAGAGAAGCTGTTCATGTGTGCTCAGTGTGGAACATGTTTCAAGTATAAAGCAACTCTTAATGCCCACATGAGAGATCACACTGGAGAGAGTCCATTCACCTGCAAACTGTGTGGGAGAAGCTTCTCACACAATGGAAATCTTAAGACTCATATGAGAATTCACACCGGAGAGCAGCCGTTCACGTGTGAACAGTGTGGAAAGAGTTTCAGACGTAAAGAAACCCTTGATTCCCACATGAGAGTTCACACTGGAGAGAACCCTTACAGCTGCAAAGTGTGTGGAAATGGCTTCTCACTGAAGGGAAGCCTTAATACTCACATGAAAATTCACACTGGTGAGAAACCATTCGTTTGTGATCAGTGTGGAAAGAGTTTTGGACGTAAAGGAACACTTAATTACCACATGAGGATTCATTTAAGAGAGACCAATTTAACATGTCATGAGTGTGGAAAGAGTTTCACGGACAGTAATCACCTTAAGAAGCATGTGATAATTCACATCGGGGACAAGCCTTTCATGTGCCATTACTGTGGAAAGACTTGTAAAAGCAAATCAAACCTTGAGAATCACATAAAAGTTCACACTGGAGAGAAGCCTTTCACCTGCCGAGAGTGTGGAAAAGGTTTCACAGTTAAAAGAAACCTTCAGATTCACATGAGAGTTCACACCGGAGAGAAACCTTACAAGTGTCGTCAGTGTGAGAGGAGTTTCACGTGGCCAAAGGAGCTGAAACGTCATTTGCAAATTAAATGTGAAAATAAAACTGCAGTGTTCTGAATGTAATAAGAGGTTTACAAAGGGGGACATTTTCAGAAATCACCTGCAGAATCCCTCTGGATGATTTAATTGACCTATCGGTAAGCCCCGCCCCCCTTAATTACTGTTGCTCCCTCGGACAAACAAACAGAGTTGCTCACTGTCTCACAATGACATTTGTCAGTGTGAAAACCTTGTCCCACAATGTTTTTGCACAATTTTGGACACAGAAGGGCCACCATTCAAGTGGGAATTAAATATTCCATGGAGGGATATATAAAAGATTTTAAATAAATATGGTGGGTAACTCGAAGCGAGGGTTTACAGATCACAATGCAAGCGGGAGGAGTCTCATATTATGGTCGACACGATCATGGATGACAACATGCGGGATCAACACTGTTCATGTACCGCAGAGTATGATTAAATTAATTTACATTTAACCAGTTTAATATGGAGAGGCACTGAAATGTAGACCTTCATTTATGTGTTTTTGACTTACACTGTACATGACGTGAGAACAGTTCGCTATTTAGGTTTGTAATAGCATTGACTCACTAACTTTAACGTTAGCTGGTTTTAGCCAGAGATACCTTGCTGAAACGCAAGATGACATTAACGTTCTGAAAATGATTAAATGAAAATGGTAACTTAATGAAAGTATGACAACCAGAAAATGAATGTTTTTGTCTTCATTGTGATTGGGGTTGAATGCTTAGGGACATTTTGCTCTGAATTTGAGACTTTATTTTGGTTCTTTGTGCAAAAGTGTTTTAAATAGTTAATCAATTTAAAATGTCACCAAAAATATGTATATGTGCACAATATATTTTCATTGCATAGATCATTGGTTCTCAACCACATTCCTGGAGCACATTTGCATGTCTCCTTAATCAAACACCTGATTCAACTCATCACATGCAAAGACATGCAAAATGTGTAGTGTTGGGGGATCCAGGAATGTGGTTTTGTTTATTTTTGATTCGCTTTAATACCTCAAACAAATATTAGATGAATAAACTTCCATCTTCTGTGAAATGCCACAATGTAAATTAAAAATTCTGAATAAAAGGAAATAAACAACTGTATAAGAAATTACATAGCTTTATTTGATTCACTTTTAGTTAAAGAATGCCCAGGTAAGTATGTTTTCAATGTCTTAGAGCTAGAATTATGCTAGTACAGATGAAACGAATGAAAATTAAATGAAAGGATGCTAGGTCAATGGCCAGACACCTTTTAGAGGGCAAGAAGATCACTGGTACCAAACCGGGAAAGAACAGGATTAACTCCTAAAGGCCGGGACACAACAAAAGGACTTAAAAAAACTAGATGAAAGCCAATGGTGTTGCCACCTCACATCAGCTGTGACTGGACCAAAATGCTGTGCTTGGACAAGAACTAGCGTGTGCGTTCTGCACCTACGTGTAAGGAATTAACTGTCTATGTCAGCAGGTATGAATAGTCTAGATTCATCATTCAAAAGGAGAAACCAAAACAAAGATATATGAGATATTAACAGATAAACAAAGCAGTGCTAGTTTATAATTTTGAATATCAGTTATGTTGATAACTTTCTTCATTTTATAAGACCAAATTCAGTATAGCCACACCTTGATGATGCAAACTATGCAGGCAAGCAGATGAGCCCAGAATATAAACTAAATGCGCTAAATTGCACGTTAAGCGTTTTGCGTTCATATTCTGTGCTCATTTTCTTATTCTTCTTGCCTATTATTATCATTCTCCTCTGTCACTACACATGTATTTATACAAATAAGGAGGAATGTATATATTATTCAGAGGATATGGAATTTTTGAATTTCATTAAATATAATATAAACAGAATTACTAATCCAATAAAAAGGAAGAAAATTTTTGGACAGTTAAAAAAATGGCAAAGTTCTGTAGTATTACTCCAGAAAACACACTTACCTGAGATAGAACATTTAAAACTAAAAAGAGAGTGGGTAGATCAAGTGTTTAGTGCATCATTTGGAAATAAGAAGAAAAGAGGAGAAGCTATTTTGTTTAATAAAGTGGTGTGCTATAACAATGAAAAAACCTTCAAGACAAGCATGGCCAATATGTTATGGCGGTTGGATCAATTGGAGGCATAACGATAACAATTGTAAATACACAGTATATGCTCCAAATGAAGACTGCCCCTTTTTCTTTAAAAAAATAGCAGCACTAGCTAGTTGCAGATAAAAGTGAAGGGATTTTGCTTATCAGAAGAGATTTTAATTGTATATTGAATTCTAAACTAGACAGATCACCTGTAATAGCAAAACTTCCATCTAAAATGTCCAAGGAAATGTCAAATCTGATTAACGAAATGGGCTTAGTGGATGTTTGGCGACATATACATCCTAAGGAAAGAGACTTTACATTCCTGTCGCAACTGCATGGGAGCTACTCTAGGATAGACTTTTCTTTATATATATACAGGTGCATCTCAATAAATTAGAATGTCATGGAAAAGTTCATTTATTTCAGTAATTCAACTCAAATTGTGAAACTCGTGTATTAAATAAATTCAATGCACACCGACTGAAGTAGTTTAAGTCTTTGGTTCTTTTAATTGTGATGATTTTGGCTCACATTTAACAAAAACCCACCAATTCACTATCTCAACAAATTAGAATACTTCATAAGACCAAAATTAGAATACTTCATAAGACCAATAAAAATATTTTTTTTAGTGAATTGTTGGCCCTCTGGAAAGTATGTTCATTTACTGTACATGTACTCAGTACTTGGTAGGGGCTCCTTTTGCTTTAATTACTGCCTCAATTCGGCGTGGCATGGAGGTGATCAGTTCGTGGCACTGCTGAGGTGGTATGGAAGCCCAGGTTTCTTTGACAGTGGCCTTCAGCTCATCTGCATTTTTTGGTCTCTTGTTTCTCATTTTCCTCTTGACAATACAAGATTCTCTCTGGGGTTCAGGTCTGGTGAGTTTGCGGGCCAGTCAAGCACACCAACACCATGGTAATTTAACCAACCGACATTCTAATTTATTGAGATGCACCTGTATATATATATATATATCAAAAACAGATTTATATAAAGTAAAGGAATGTACAATTGAACCAGTCACCATCTTGGACCATAACCCAGTTATCATGAAAATTAATCTAGGATTAGACAAACAGTTTAGATATTGGAAATTGAATGTCTTGATGTTAACAGTTCCCCAAACTAAACAAGACAAACAAGAAGCACTAAAGGAATATGTTGCCATTAATGATGATGGTATTGCCTCTCCTTCGATACTGTGGGATGCAGGAAAAGCCACAATAAGGGGAAAGATCATATCTATAGGGTCTCAATTAAAGAAACAAAGAAACTTAAAACAACAAGAATAAGAAAATGAAGTACAGAGGTTAGAGAGTGAGCACAAAAAAGAAGATACACTTAGGGAGTTAAAAGAAGTTAGGAAAAAATTAGACAAATTACTAACACATAAAGCAGAAGGAGCCCTTAGATAAATAAAAAATAAAATATTATGAAATGGAAAATAAAGCTAGCAGACTTATGGCTTTTCAACTCAGGAAAGATCAAGCCAGCCGTATAGTTCCGAAGATTAGACATCCTGTAACAAAAAAAATTGAGACCCATCCCAAAGCAATATCAGATGTTTTTGCAGAATATTATCAACAGTTATATAAAGGTCAAAACCAGGAATCTAAAAAAGAAAAATTTGAATTTTTTAATTTGACAAAATTATTGATGGAGGAAGCGAGTAAATTAACAGATCCTATAACAGAAGATTAAATTAAAGAAACAATCACTAATCTAAAAAATAGTAAGGCACCAGGATCAGATGGGTTTTCTGGAGAGTATTATAAAGCTTTTATGAATGACCTTTCTCCAATATTATGTAATGTACTGTACATAACTATGCGCTGCAATCAGGTGACCCACCAAAATCATGGTCAGAAGCCATCATTTCAGTTTTACATAAAGAAGGTAAAGATCCCACGCAGTGTAATAGCTATCGCTCTATTAGTCTTCTATTGGCGCTTTTCCACTGCATGTTACGGCACGGTACGGCTCGGTACGGTTCACTTTAGGGGGGTTTTCCACTGGGTACAGTACCTGGTACCTGGTACTTTTTTCAGTACCACCTCGGTCATATGTCTGGACTATAAAATATTCACATCTTTATTGGCTAAAAGAATCCAAAAAATTTATGTAAAAAAGGGAATATGGACGATATATTGCTCAGAAAACCCATTTCATTCCATCCCCCCACTCATGCAGTGTTTGCATGAATATGGACTAATCTCAGGATATAAAATTAATGAAAATAAATCTGAAGCGATGATTTCTGGAGTTTGGCCATCCCAATTGAACGAACAGGTCTCATTTCATTGGCCAAAGCAAGGATTTAGATACTTAGGAATTATTTTTACACCCAATCCCAGCCAGCTCTCTGAGGCAAACTATAAAAAACTAATAAATAAATAAACGATTTAATAAGATGGGAGATTCTCCCTCTCTCGTTACTGGGCAGATTGGAGGTAAGAATGAACCTACCACCCAGATTTCTTTTTTTGTTCCAATCTCTTCCAGTAAATGTACCCATCTCAGATTTCAATATGTTAGATCAATTAATTAGCAAATTAATATGGCAGAAAAAGAGACCTAGGATAAAATTTTAAACATTGCTTTCATCAAAGAAGAAAGGAGGCCTGGGCTTACCGAATCGAAAATATTACTACTGGGCAGCTCAGTTAACTGAAGTAAAACATACTTTAAAAATGTATACAAAAAAAAAAAAATGTATCAAGGTCCAGAATCTATTTCCAGGGCCATGCTCTCACGATCAACCACTGGAGTGCCCATGAGCTCCACCAGAGGGCACTCCATCCCTGACTTTTACTATTCACCCAGGACTCCATTTCCCACAATCCTTTGCCCGGACTCATCAACACTCATTACCAGTTCACGGCTGCCTCACATTAGAAGTATACTATAAAACTATAAAAGATGCACTCAGACACAAACACGTTGCTGATGGTTATACCCTGTAGAGTACTCCTAGTTTCTGTGTTTTCCCATTATTTCCTAGTTCCTTGTTTTCTTGCCTGGCCTTCGTGTTTTGATCTTGGTCTGTTTACCTGGTTTTTGATTGTTTTCTGCCTGCCCTGACCTTTGCCTGTCTTGTGGATTACCCTTTTGCCTGTGCCTTGGATATTACTGTTTGCTGGTGGTTGATAGTGTTGCAAAGTCCGA